CTTGATGAATCAAAGAGCACCGCTCCTCCTATACACAACCATCGGTGCCAGGGATGATGATGATTCCCCGTTGCCAATGGCAACCAAGATTCGCGACAAACGGTGAAGATTGATGCGGTGGCACCGCGATGTTGAGCTGTCACAATCATGACAATTTGAAACAATGTTGGTGTTTTTTTCCCCTTCTCTTGCACTCTTTTTTCATCACTTGTACTATTTTCCCAATGATTACTTAAATTTCTTCGTTTACAAGATGTAAGGGTGTAAGAGCTTTCCGCTCTTTTGCCGCAAAATGTGAGCCTGGTAGCTCCAAGAAAGTGTTCCGACTGCAAGTGTGAGGGGAATATTAAGATAATATCACTGGTGCCCCCTCAATTTCATTCGCTATTTATACGCAAATGAGCGTAAACGGTACTGATTTTGTTAGTTTCTCCTATTTACGATTACTTTATATTTATATATGAGCATTTCATAATTCCCTGATATGATTATCATTTGCTTAGTTTTCTAATGGCTGTCCCAAACTTTCTTCCCCCTCTCTGTTTCTTTTTCGTAATTTGTCTCTGTATCTGTCTCTCTCTGTCTCTGTCTCTGTCTCTCTCTCTATCCTCTTCACCCAACATTATATTGGTGTATCAGTTAACATTAATACAAAAATTCCCTATTAATCTGAACGCGTCTTATGTTATGCATCACTACAATGACATAATCTATTTTCAACTTTGTTATTGTACCCAAAACAAACAGGAACTTAACTTAACTGTGGTATGAAATCATTGCATTTTTAACAGGTTGTAATATAAATATTGTGTTTTCAACAAGCACATACCAAGTTTTACAATCCCCACCCCATATCGCCCCATTTCTATACCGCCCTACCCTTTACCCATCTCCACCCCATCCCAACTCACTAGTTTATCTCAATGAACTACTGATAATGAGAGAAAGAGAGACAGATACAGAATGCGCATCCATGAATGAAGAAGCGCCAAGGGGCCGATATACTTTTTAGACGAGCTAAAATTCCTTCTAAACGTTTCTCTATGAAAATGCCTCCGAGGTAACTGTATTGAGCATGATTATTTGTGAAAAACTACCGAGGACGTTTTTGATCGAGGTACCAGACGAAAGACATTAAATGAAAACTTTACAAGACGTCGAAAAATCTGCAAAGTCAAAAGTGATGCTCTTGATATATCACAACTAAAGTGCATTCAACCAAAAGTGCAATGCACCTTTTCTTGTTTTGATACCTCTCAACGTAAAATCGCACTCGGTATAATAAATGGTTCTCTTTTTTGGTTACAAAATGGCAACTACTGTGGATCCGCAGCCTTATTTTCTCTCTTACCTAAGTGTGAGGATCAAATTAATGGGATGAAAAACACTGAACAGCCTGCAAAGTACGATGGCATCAAAGTAACAAGTGTTTTAATTTTAAGACGAAGGCAAGATATGTCTCTAAAACGTCTAAATTAATTGTCACGAGATAGCTGTTTGTTACGAAGTGACACTGGCCTTAAATTTGACAAATCATTTGCGCGCGCACGCTTCGATCGAGCGGCAAATGAGTATCGATCATTAGGGAACATCAGGGGAAAAGACACTGGTTGTAGAGTAAATATCCAATAAACTACATGACATGTAGATAACGTTGTTTAATTCCCGGGTTTGGTTGTAAGGAATACAATGAAAGACTGAGAGGGGTATTCAGTGTCTTGGAAAAATCTCGAGAGAATCGCATCAATTTAGCACCTGCCCAGATGCAGGAATCTCAGAGAGAACGCGATGGTGCAAACTGACGACAGAAAGGTTCGTTACAGAAACAAGTTGCCCTCTCTCTCTGGATCTCTTTCTTTCTCTTCTCTTTCCCTTGCCCTATTATTATGTCAAATTCCGATAAAACGTTATGTGAGAATACACATTTGGAACAGAAATGGGTTATTCGTAGTAGGTCCATGGTCTTATCCTGAGCTAGGTAGCCTGTTTGCCATAGTAAAATAATCTTTCATGTACTTGATATCATTATGTAGAAATCAACAACAAAAAGAGAGACATCTGTACATTTGCATCACGTGCATAACGCGTTTTTTCCCTTCAAATTTAAGAGAATAGCTTTGACTCTCACAGAAAATATTTATATCCCAATCCTGGTTCTAATGTTGGTTTCACTTTTCACATCTTCTTAATGTTTATATAATCATCCTTTCTGTCTTGATAATCATCTCTCTGCTTCCCTGTCTGCGTCTTGGTGAACCGCTAAGTCTTAATTGTTTTCCCCCATCATTTTCTGCCATGACAAATGGGATAAGTGTAACAATTTGATGTTGCAGATCCGGCTTCTACTTTAATGACCCCAGACAAGATTATATCACCGCTTGAACTGTCGCTGCTATTGACAAGAAGGTCTTTATACATCTTATACTTTAACATCATGAACATGGGCAGATAGAGTTAACGCTCTTCTAGCAGTCATCAGAGAGACGCGTTTCTTTCTGTATTGAGGATTTACATTCGCCCTCTTTTTTGTCTGATTTTTCTGTAACAATCTCCAAGATCACTTTGTCATAAAGAAGTAGGAATAGCGAGCATTAATTTTTAAATAAATGAATATCATAGAAACACAATTCATTTGAAAGAACTGTACATGTTTTGGAGTTAAAGTGAAACACAGTCCATAAACAAGAAAATTCTACAAAATTATCAGGAGATGCTATAGACTAGTTATCTTATCAAGCTATTTGTCAAAGATATATCATCCTTTGTTTTCATTCGACATGTCAAACGCCCTTATATGATCCAATTACACGTCATAAATGTCCCTCGATTTCGGAATAGTGTTTATTGTTTGTGCCGTTAACTCCACCATAAAGATACCGCGTCCAAACACGCATCGTTTGATGTTGAACGAGATTCTGTGAAGCACTAAAGTGAAGTTCAAATGCCTATCTTCACTTGGAAAAATCTTGTTATTGTTGACATTTACTAACCATCTACTTTCTGTCTTTCTCAGTTACCATTTGTGGTTAGCTTTATGTCTTATCGATTTGTCACGAAGAGAAGATTTGCAGAGATTAAAAAAACGCCGCATCTCTCCACCATTTTTCTTGGTTACTCCACAAAGAAGTGCACTTTTGAGAGCCATGCAATGTTTCGAGAAGTCCGGTGATGTTTCGTTTCCAAGAAGCACTATACAATGCGATATGCAATCAACCATGGATGGTTTAACCTAGAAGTCTTCAATCTAATAATTCTGTTTTTCTTGGGGATCCTGTAATAACCTAATAATATTTAGTGTCCATTCGTTAAAAAAGAAGAATATAGGGATTACAAGTATTTCAAAGATGTCTCACGTCTCAAAGACGTGCAAATGTTTCACTGACTCATCATGAAATGCATGATTGCTGACAGTTAAGACTTCTTTTACTATTTAACTAAATCTTTCTTGGATGTCCCCCAATTAATCCGTTAACAGAATAGAGCATTCATTTCATTCAGATCAATTCTGAATTCGGAGAATATGGATTACAAGGCTGGTTGTCCCAAATGAACCGTATCTTCTTTTTGTCAATACATATCATTGTTAGAACTCAGAAGGAGGGTCGCAATATAAACAGATCGATGTCACGATACTTTTGTTACGGTTTATCACAATCGATCGTTATCGAGTGAACAGTCTTCCCCTTTGTAGTTGAAAGGCAATTTATACAATTGTTTAATTAATTTTCAGGAATTGTGCGCAGTGAGTACTGGTTGAATTATGGTAACTACACACTGGGAAGAAATAGTGATAAATGATTAAACTGTTTTAAAGCAAGATGAGAGAGAGAGAGAGAGAGAGAGAGAGAGAGAGAGTGAGAGACGAAATAGCAACAAGATTTATTATTATAAAAGTCGGCAAGAAAGTGCCTCCGTTGACTTAAAGTTTCTCCATTCTGTTCTATGGAAGCAATCTGTCAATAGTTGGTGATATAGTGGGCACCCATATTTCCCCCTGTCTAAAAAAACAACTATTAACGTTGTAAAACCTCAACATAAAGATCATCTATACATAGTGATCACCTATATTGTCTCCCTTTAAAATGTATGTGCTGAATTCCTTGACAGTCCACATGCCTACATTGGCCGCTTTACATGCAGTTTCCCTCGACTGGCCTTTATAGTCAGTGTTCTCTATACTATTAGAGCATTTTATTGAAACCCCTTTTCCTTATATTCTCCAGTCTTCGTAGTCATCGTCCTCACAAGTCATTTACATGGAAACTTATTACAGAGGGCTATTGTCCTCATCTATTCCAAAAGCATTCAATAGTAACACCGAGAAACCTGTCAAAAGTTTCGAACACTACTTTCGGTTCACACGGCAGTCCGTTCATTTTAAATTTAGCTCATGGTTTTAAACTTCAAAAGTTATCTAAAAGTTAGGAACCTTGCAGATGTACTCGTGGTTAGAACAAAATTAAGTTTACACCAAGTCATAGTGCGATAACTCTGAGCAGCGGGCCGGGGTCCTCACTCAAAGTCTCTGTCCAGTGCAGACGCCATTAACTTCGAGGATATACAATATACACCATCTTGTATGTGAAATATCCGATACCGCTTGCCCGGCTTGGAGACTGAAACTTTGAATGCTTGTTTCAGTCAAGTGTGAACTTAAGTCGTTATTAGTGGAACAATTAATAACTTCGACAGTTCGCGAACTTCCATTTTAGAATTACGACGTTCTCATGTGAACATAACCTCTGCAACTGAGACACAATACTCCCGACGCTCTGACGTAATGACGAAAGATGATGCCTGATACTTTCTAAATTTACCCTGCGCACTAAATATAGAACCACTAGACTTTGCCAAATTTGATATGAATCTGTCTTCCACGACAATGAATGTCTTTATTGCTTGGTTCATGACATGGGTATCAGGTTTGGAGTTTGGATGTTGCTAAAATTAGAGCAACTTCGTAAGAAGTGATTTGCATCTCGGTATATACAGGTGGTAGGGGTGTTGAGTATGACCGTTGGAGTTTGGATTGAGGGGCTGAAATAGCAACACGGGTGTCGACAGAATGACAGAAAGTGCTAAAGGTCAGTTTGGAAAAGAGGTTATCCAATCCTCTTTTATAGTACAGTAGGTCTATAATAACATTTCTGTGGGAGAATGCACTAAGAGACATTAAAACTGTTTCTATGCTATCTGCGTATGTTTCTTACCTGCTTTATGTAGCTGTAGTGCTACCAAGGGATGCAGATAATGATGACTGGCCTTCAGTTAGGAGTACCTAAATTTACCGCTTTAATTCACAGCAGGGGTTTGTGTCTAATTGAAGTAAACTTGGAAGATAATCGTGTTTCATCTGTCCCATCATCTACATCCAAATCACACCTCAATCCTCCCCAACGCGCATTTTTGTATAGCTTAACGACCGACCCCCTTTGCACTTTGTTGTAGAGGGTGTTTCAGAAATAGATCCATATGCTTTTCAAAAGTAGAAATGAGGGGCGGGATTAGAGGACGAATCACCCTCAAAATGATGAATGAAAGGGAAAAAAGACCCAATCCTTTATATCCGTTCCCAATGTTTACCCAGTCTGCCGCAAGCGCGTGAAAAGATGAATGGGGCAGACCCGGTGGGGGAGCGGGGGCTGGACCGCCGATAAATTTGTCACCCCACCGCATGATGTCGAGCTTACCCCTTTTTCCTCAATAAGAGATATTTCAAAATTCTTATATCAATACTACACGAGACTCGCACGCTGTTTTCTTTGTGTGTTTTACCCTGAAGGGAATACCAATATATCAGCTCCAATAACTGGTAAGAATTATTCTTTTGAAGGAATGATATGTTGAGATAGTTGCTGTAATTGTTTGACAAAGTGGGCCTGAAGCGGAAAGGCAAGTCTGGGTTAAGAGTTGTCGCCTAGCTGCGGTTTGTCTGTAATCCAATGTAGCCACTTAGCTAAGCTCCCTAAGCACATAAAAGTGAACTTCAGGGGTCAAAACATCACACATTTCTGGTCTAGTTCATTGCCATGAACCCCATTTTTCATACAGGCAGTCGAACCCTTTTTTCATGCTTTATATTATTTCATGCACTCTTCAAATCTATGCTCACTGCCAAGTGCACTATATCTGTTTCACTCATAAAGTCTACGGTGTCCCACATTAATTATGAAAAATAACCAAGACAATTTTTGTATACGATTGAGGATTGTCGAAAGCATTTGTGATTAACTTCGTCACTGCTCTGCATGCGGACGGTGTAAATTATAAGTTGAACACTCATTAGGGAGTGGAGATGGTGCACATTGATATGAAATTAAGTTACCAGGGGCAACATAACAATTAATCCGCATTGAAGTGAAGGCTAAACTGGAATATTCAAAGTATCTACAAAGTGTTAAACTTTAACAAATGTTATTAAATGCAGTTTAATATTGATATTCAATACCGTTATTATGTTATTCATGAGCCATTCCTTTTTACCACCCTTCGGTAAACTACACCACGCACTTGATTCGAGTTTGCTGCGTTCCTACCATTAACCAAACGTAATAAAGATTCCAATAATATAATTCATTTTGAGCGATACAGTGGTATCAGCGAGATAAGCTATCCCCAATTGTAAACACACCAGCGCATGGGTAAAGCCTCACCCCCCATGTAACTCGATATCAGAATGCAAAATGCAATATGGTTGTGAAAATCGTATATGGATTGGCGGAGGAAAGCATATTGGGCGAGGGGATCTTGAAACGCGTGGACGTTGATAAGACGAGCCCATTCTGTCTCGAGAGGGGAGGAGGAAGTGGGAGGTGGTGGTGGGGTGGGGTAACTTTACCCCTTATCATTCAGTCCAATTTAGTGTTGTTAAGACATTAGGACAACCAAAGAGATATCTTTGGGACAACCTACCCGGACACTGGGACAACCAACTTCGGCTTTAAAGTTGAAACGTGTTAAAAACAAAATCCAGTTCATACCCTCAAACAAATATCTAGTCAGTTGGAGGTAGTTGTCCTGGAGTTTATTGTGCCAAGAGGTATTTGTATAGGGAGTATTTTGTCCGGGACCGGATGTAGTCTAGGGGTGGCTGTTCTAGGTTGTCCGAGGCGTGGTTTCCCCAGGGTGCAAGTAGTAAACTCAGACAGTTCAGGAGTAAGCTATCCTCCGAATATGAAAATATGACGATTTATTAGATGATCGGTCGCCCCTTGATCTAATCTACCCTGGTTACGCCCTCCATTTCTGTCAATCATTTTCATTTTGTACAAAGCTCAGGAAGTGCATTCGATGTAAATCAAACAGGAGTGACAATTATTGAGGCATAAAAAGGTGTGATACGGTGAAAACACAAACGAAAGAAACAGCCTGTGAAATCGTGTTTGCACAATGAGACGTAAGCAAAGAAAGAGAAACCCGTGGGACAAGAACAAAAATCTCATGAAATCTTCTTCTTACTTATCGTTTTCCTTTTTAGGTCAGTAATTCTTTCTTTTAAGGTTTCAAGGAATCGGTTGTCTGAAGTGGTGAATTTGATAACCGCGAGACGGTGCGGTTTGTTTTAAGATCAATGGGGGAGTGGGAAAACGCGTCAAGTAACACCATGGACCTACTAACACTAACAGGTGGGTCATCCAGGTATACCGTAGGGGGAACGAGGGGTAGCTATAACCCGCAGGTGCATTGCAACAGGGGGTTGGGTGTGACACCCCTCCCCGCGAAATATCGCTGTTGCTAGAAGAAAACAAATGATTTCTCAAGGAACGTTTGGAGATTTTCTACTATTTTGTTACACCTGAGGATCTATTTGTTTATCTTTTTTGTTGGGGGGGGGGGGGGGGGAGGAAGGGGGCAGTTTGAATCTTTATCAACGTTCTCACAAGCTGTAAAACTGTACTAGAGGAGTAGGGGAAGAGCATGCAAACGGCAAACCCTACGAGTTTACAACAGAATTTACGGGTAGGATTTATACATTCGAATTTCATCATGCATTTCAATTGCACAGTGAAGCTCCTTCCAGACAATGTCCTTAAATGCACTATTTTCACTTAAATCACGTGCTGGCTAAACCGATGATGAAGCAATATCCTCTATTCCTCAAGCTTTGCGACTCAAAATTACGTTCTACCCTCGTACTATAGTTATATATCATCCTCCAGGCTATACGCGTTTATGAAAAATCGCGACTGTTTTCGATCCGGACGGCTTCAGAAAAGAAACACCAACAAAGGACTCGATTTCGAATTAATGACATCTCTTTTTTCACAAAATTGAAAAATTTGCTCTTTGCTTTATCCATGAAGTATAATAATACTACACCCCTCTAGGTGTTATTGGGAAGGTATATGAACACTACTTAGCGACGTCAGCAACTTATGTCTGTGATATACAGCTTTAATACATGCCATCAGTGAGTACATCTATGATTATTCTTGCCGCTGGGTTCAACAATCAATATCATATTCATGAAATGGAGACATAATTGCGGAAGAGGGGTTAAGATGTTTGTTATAATGACCCACATACAACCTTGTTCCAGTTCGTAAAATGAAACTGTTGACCGCATTCATGTATTGATATTGAATTATAGATTAGCTCTGTCTTTTCTTTAAAGATAAAGTTGCGTTCTGGTCAGGCAATTATAAGATTTTGTAAGAAACTGTCTGGAAGCAATTTGGAACGGTTGATTGTGTAGTACTCAAGAATTGGTATATACTATGAGGTTTTGTAATTATCGAATTATTGCATTGTTGATGTAAAGCACAGTTAATTTAGTACACAGAAATAGGGATATAGGACTACAAACACATAATGGCTTTGCTGTTTGGTCCAAACACTTCAGCTACTTACCAGAAACGAAGCTTCTCTTTAAGACGGAGGGGGGGGGGGGGGGGGGGGTAACACTGTAATCTATCGCACACCTAACACGAGCGGACAGGTAGAGCGAAAAAGTGAAGTATACGTGGGCGAGATCTAGTTCCACTGAACGCTGGGTATGTATTTTATCATTCGGACTACATGAATACCATAAAATAAAAGTAAACGCAGGGGAATCTAGAAGTGAGAACTTGACCTTTAGAGACACCGTACATCTTCATTTGGGCGTATGTGCCATGTAACACACCGTGACATGTAATGTATACACCGAACACTCTATCCTTCTCCATCTCTTCACATCTCTTTCCATCTCTTTCTGTCACTTTTCAGCATGAACCTTTTCTGTCTCATGTACTCTCGTCAGAGATATCACTAACATCTCACAGAGTGAGTCCTTTCCGGAAGATTTATGCCACTCGTACACACGTCCTTATATCAGGCTATATCACGAACTAATGCAAACTTGGTTATACACACAATCTTACCATAACTGTTACATAATGATTCTTATATATTAAAATGACAGTCATTTTCACAGAAAATTGATTCAGATTTCATTGCTTGAATAAGAAACTCTCACGAAAGTCAAGATATATTAATCTGAAGTGAAACGCAACCATCATGTGAAGTCGCTTTTCCAAGCAACTCTTCTATGTGTGGGGTGGTAGTCGGTGGAAAGATTAACTATTTTGATGAACAAGAGAGCTCATACCGTCTGACGTTTGCGACTATGGTTAAAGCCAGGGACAGATGTAAGAATAATTTGCTTTTACCTAAAGAGATGCGCATGCGTGGTTTGACGGATAACTCGGTACTCGAAGTTTGACGGGCGCACTTGTACATCTTGTAATGTACGTCACTAAATGCATGTAATAAACGCGGGAAAGTTTTTGAAATGAACGAAGCGACATCGACAAGCAAGTCGGAATGACATTAGCATCATGAGGTGGCTGTATGTCAGGCGGTATAATGGAATGCGGAAGGAGAACTGACAGCGAAGATATTGTTAAATCGATATCCCCCGCTTCTTCTTTCGAGAGTGTCGTCTGCGTTGATTACCTGGTACGCGACGTGGATAATGAAGGGAGCTTTATCCATTTGCATGTAATTTTGAAGACGCGCTTCGGCGAGATTGGGCAGAATTTTCTTACCATTAACCCTTTGAATAAGATCTGGCGTTTTCGGGTTCCAAAATTATTATAGGATT